TATCTATTTTATAAAAATACTGTTTTGATCTATTATAAGACAGAAAAATGGGTCGCCTCTGTACCCTGGCAATAGAGACCTTGAGGGGTGATAGAGGGTTGACTGTCCTTTATTGACGCGACGGGTGACTTAAATTGTCTCGAAGCCAGGTTAGGGCGTCGGCGAATTCTCCCCAGTCAGGATGGTCGAAAGTCCAGCGGTGTTGACTAGCAGTGTTACGCCCTATTGGGGCGGGGGAGCAATGTGTGCAGACTGTGCTAACGACCTCACCACTTAACACAGAAATAATTCCCGTGGATCAACAGGCCACTTGACCTGTTGCCAGTCACGAGGTCACGTGATGTAATTACAAACTTCAAGTCCCATAATTTTGAGCTTGGTGTTGGACGTAAGGTTTATCAACCTCTGGAGGGTTAATAAAGCCACCACAATGGCTTACCGATATAATGGCTTACCGATATGATTAGATATAATTGCTTACCGATATAATTAGATATAATGGCTTACCGATATGATTAGATATAATTGCTTACCGATATAATTAGATATAATGGCTTACCGGTAATAGATATAATTTAACCCATAAGGTTTTTGGTTTCGGTTTGACTTAAGGCCTATCAACCTCTGAAGAATTACCATGGCATTACACGTGCTTACTAATCCACCAGTAAATATACTTTTAGCATAAACACAAATGAATACGAATACATATTAAAGTGTATATACATTCCAATTAATGGTATACACCTCCTAAATTTTATAACCTTAAAAAATACTGAATGTGCCTACAGTATAAATTCCAAAAGTCAATAAAATAACTGATGACAACTCAGCCCGCGCGTCTGAGTGCTAAGTGGGCATTTCCACACTTGTAGCTGAACGGTTCACAGTCTTTCTTTGTATGCAAATACAACACGAAATTCCTTCATTTCCTTACAAGTATCTAACCAGGGGTGACGCGAGCCTGTCACGTCTTGGGGCAGCCTCTCACGCCCTCACCCAATCTGTCACGTAACGTCTAATCCTGTCACGCCATGACTCAACCTGTCACGTTATAACTTAATTTGTCACGCAATGAAGGAACCGCTTTTCCTTTCTCTGATAAACAAAGTATGTAGCCATAGAAATAAATAATAATAAGAAAACTAACTAGCGCTCTTAAGTGACTCGAACCTGTGACCCGCGTACGGCCAGTCGCGACCTTTGCCACTGTGAAGGTTTATATCACCTTAGTGATTTATCTCTGTATAATAATAATAATAATTAATGGAACTGAAGGCGGATAACAATGTTTATGGAGAGAGAGAGAGAGAGAGAGAGAGAGAGAGAGAGAGAGAGAGAGAGAGAGAGAGAGAGAGAGAGAGAGAGAGAGAGAGAGAGAGAGAGAGAGAGAGAGAGAGAGAGAGAGAGAGAGAGAGAGAGAGAGAGAGAGAGAGAGAGAGAGAGAGAGAGAGAGAGAGAGAGAGAGAGAGAGAGAGAGAGAGAGAGAGAGAGAGAGAGAGAGAGAGAGAGAGAGAGAGAGAGAGAGAGAGAGAGAGAGAGAGAGAGAGAGAGAGAGAGAGAGAGAGAGAGAGAGAGAGAGAGAGAGAGAGAGAGAGAGAGAGAGAGAGAGAGAGAGAGAGAGAGAGAGAGAGAGAGATGAGAGAGAGAGAGAGAGAGAGAGAGAGAGAGAGAGAGAGAGAGAGAGAGAGAGAGAGAGAGAGAGAGAGAGAGAGAGAGAGAGAGAGAGAGAGAGAGAGAGAGAAATATGAGGATAACAGTTAAGGTAAGTATTAAGCAGCTGTTAAAAAACAAAAATCACAAATAACATGATATCAAAAACAGATGTTTATGTGTGTGTGTGTGTGTGTGTGTGTGTGTGTGTGTGTGTGTGTGTGTGTGTGTATTGTGACCGAAACATTCTAAAGAAAACATAAGAAATTAGATTATTGTTGTTCTATATTCAGAGCGCCAAAGAGAACATTAACAGATATAGATAACATAAATTAAGGTGTATATTTATAGAACATAATTATATGTTTATAAATAATTATGCATGCTGACTATACGAAGTAATTTAATCATATATATAACCCACATATAATCAAATATACAGCTATACACAGTCACATATGTAGCCACATATAAAATGAGAAATGTTCATGTAGAAACTATAGATATACAAGAAAGTGCTTTTAAGTGACGAATGACTGTTAATGCATTCAATATTCCTTAAGATGTTGAGATTCAGAATAATTTGCATAAATTACCAATAATTTACCTGGGAAAAGCTTTCAAAAATACAGGAGTTGAGATTATTGTTGGGATGTTATTGTGTGTCATGTGTATGTGTCATGTATGTGTGTCCTTACAAGTATACATAATTACAACAGTCTGTGTCATGGTCATTATACCCCGTCCTCTGAGCCTTATATATATAAGGCTCAGAGGACGGGGTATATATATATATATATATATATATATATATATATATATATATATATATATATATATATATATATATATATATATATATATATATATATATATATATATATATATATATATATATATATATATATATTACTCTCCCCTTATCCTTTAACCTCTTTCATCTCCCCTCGACAAACTCTTATTTCAGACTTCCCCTCACCTCATTCCCCTCTTCCCTTCTCCCCTTAACCTAAACCTTCAACCCCTCACTTTCACCTTTGCTCCTGAGTAAATATTCATATTGAATACGAATGCCTGAGTGTGTGTGTGGGTGTGTTCACCTAGTTGTGTTTGCGGGGGTTGAGCTTTGCTCTTTCGGCCCGCCTCTCAACTGTCAATCAACTGTTTACTAACTACTTTTTTTCCACTCCCCCAGGAAGCAGTCAATGACAGCTGACTAACTCCCAGGTACCTATTTACTGCTAGGTAACAGGGGCATTCAAGGTGAAAGAAACTTTGCCCATTTGTTTCTGCCTGGTGCGGAAATTGAACCCGCGCCACAGAATTACGAGTCCTGCGCGCTATCCACCAGGCTACGAGGCCCCCAAATGTACTCACCTAGTTGTGTTTGCGGGGGGTTGAGCTCTGGCTCTTTGCTCCCGCCTCTCAACCGTCAATCAACTGATGTACAGGTTCCTGAGCCTATTGGGCTCTGTCATATCTACATTTGAAACTGTGTATGGAGTCATACACATGTGTGTGTGTATGTGTGTGTGTGTGTATTTGTTAACACCAAACAGTGTGTATGTATACATAGGTTCTCCTGTACTGTGTATCAATTGTGTGTATAATATATACAGTGAATTCCAGTGATAACTGACCACGCCCACACCAGTACACATGACGCATTCGCGCGCGCGCGCGTGCACTGTGTATACAACGTTGTATACGTACATTCCTGGCTATGCCCATAGGCCTAATAATTATAAATGTTATTGTGAAAAATATGTGTAGTGTCTAGGCCTACCACCAGGTGTTCTTCGCCACCTTTAATTACTGTGAGAATTTACTCACCTGTAGGCCTAAGTGTTGAGGCCTTGCTAAGGTATATATATATATATATATATATATATATATATATATATATATATATATATATATATATATATATATATATATATGTGTATATATATATATATATATATATATATATATATATATATATATATATATATATATATATATATATATATATATATTTAAATAAATCGACACAAAATGGAACTTGAAACAATGTATCAGTCAAGAAAGTCCTGGGTAAATACTGGTTTCGAGACAGAGTTCTTAATTCATGGAACAAATTACCTGTGCATAGCAACATAATTGACGGAGGGGATACTGGCATTGTTTCAAGCGTAGGTTAGACATATATGGACGAGTTTGGGTGGGTATAAATAGGAGCTGCCTCGTACGGGCCAATAGGCCTTCTGCAGTTGTCTTAAACCCTATATAAATCTAGGTCAATACAAGTGCTGAGCGTAGGCCTAGACACACACATATATATTGGCAAGCCTTCAACACCTGCAAAGGGACAACATGTGCACCGACCATTGTAGCGTTGTACAGCTACTGTTCCCCACACACAAATTACGGACGTTCCCCACGGACGCAGGTTCGAATCCTCGTCACGGCCCTTGTGGATTTGCTCAGCTACTGTTGTATGGCAGTGGTTACGGTTGGGAAGATTGTATTATAATACAGTACTCTCACTGTAGCTACCACGACTACCACCACTTCTACTACCACGACTACTACCCTGTCTACTACCACTTCTACTGCTACTTAAATGACTACTGCTGGTAATACTACCATTACGTATGGTACCTCTATTGTCACGTAAGAATAGAGTGTGTTGCCATGTAAGAATAGTGAATGTTGTCACGTAAGAATAGTGTGTTGCCATGTAAGAATAGTGAATGTTGGCATGTAAGAATAGAGAGTGTTGGCATGTAAGAATAGTGTGTGTTGCCATGTAAGAATAGTGAATGTTGCCATGTAAGAATAGTGAATGTTGCCATGTAAGAATAGTGTGTGTTGCCATGTAAGAATAGTGAATGTTGCCATGTAAGAATAGTGTGTGTTGCCATGTAAGAATAGTGAATGTTGGCATGTAAGAATAGTGAATGTTGCCATGTAAGAATAGTGAATGTTGCCATGTAAGAATAGTGAATGTTGCCATGTAAGAATAGTGAGTGTTGCCATGTAAGAATAGTGAATGTTGCCATGTAAGAATAGTGTGTGTTGCCATGTAAGAATAGTGAATGTTGGCATGTAAGAATAGTGAATGTTGCCATGTAAGAATAGTGAATGTTGCCATGTAAGAATAGTGAATGTTGCCATGTAAGAATAGTGAGTGTTGCCATGTAAGAATAGTGAATGTTGCCATGTAAGAATAGTGTGTGTTGCCATGTAAGAATAGTGAATGTTGCCATGTAAGAATAGTGAATGTTGCCATGTAAGAATAGTGAATGTTGCCATGTAAGAATAGTGAGTGTTGCCATGTAAGAACAGTGAATGTTGCCACTTACCACTTGTGTGTTCTTGCTCCTGCTGATCTTCGTTCATCTGTTCTTCAGCCCAAACACAATCTTGTCTCCAGAACACATGAATGATGAGACAGCTGAATGAGGTGTTCTTCAGAAGGGACAAGAAAACGAGGGTGAAGAACACAGTGAACAATTCTGGCTACGATGGGGAGTCGAAGTGTTCAAACAAACTGTTATTGAGAAGAACGGCGTGAAAGATATGCCTCTGTAAAGTGTTTGTTCTTCATCTGGGTTATCTTTCTGGCACGTGAACATTCCTTGGCATGTTCTTCAAGTGTTCTTCTATGTGCTGTATTCCTTAGCTTTCACGAAACTCAGTTCTTCCTGAAACAGACAGACCGTTACAGCGACTGACAGCAAGGCAGGTGGGTGCTGGGAATAACAGCTGTCATTTCAACGCTGTTAAGAGTAACAAAGTTCAGTTCCCTATTGTTATTTTCGTAACAAAAGTTTACCTTTAGATATACAAGTTTCCCGTGTGTTGATAGCAAGAGTATTTGTGTATATGTGTACTCAAGACTGTAGGTAAAGCTCAGGGGTGTGGCCAACACTGGCTGTAGATATCAATGGATGTGGTCAACACTGGATGTAGATATCAATGGATGTGGTCAACACTGGCTGTAGATATCAATGGATGTGGTCAACACTGGCTGTAGATATCAATGGATGTGGTCAACACTGGCTGTAGATATCAATGGATGTGGCCAACACTGGCTGTAGATATCAATGGATGTGGCCAACACTGGCTGTAGATATCAATGGATGTGGCCAACACTGGCTGTAGATATCAATGGATGTGGCCAACACTGGCTGTAGATATCAATGGATGTGGCCAACACTGGCTGTAGATATCAATGGATGTGGCCAACACTGGCTGTAGATATCAATGAATGTGGCCAACACTTGCTGTAGTTATCAATGGATGTGGCCAACAAGGGATGTGGTCATATCTCACATACGAATATTCGACAAAGCTCTTTTTCTGTTGGTTAGGTTAGGTTAGGTTAGGTTAGGTTAGGGTTCCGTTGCTTAGATCAGGTTAAGTAAGCATGACACCCAACTTTACCTAACCAGATGTGAGAGTTAGATGTCAACACTTCAGCTCCGTTACTTGTTAGGTAAGGTAAGATAAGGTAAGGTTAGATAGGTATGGTAAAGTTAGATAAGCTTAGATAGGCTTCAGAACCCCCTAGACGATTCGTGTTGTGCAGACTGTGTCATGAAGACACATAGAGACGCATAGAGATACATAGAGACGCATAGAGACATATAGAGATGCATAGACACACACACATGACTTGCAAAGGACCCAGCGACGGTCCCTATAAGCTGTCCAGAGGTACTGCGGACCTGGCTAGGGAATCAGTCCTTTGCCGATCCCCGAGTTGGGCCGAGATAGTGATATAACGGCTTATGGGTGTTTGTTCAACATGACGCCAGCACCGACAGCCTGGTGAACCCTGCAGGCTGTCACGTCAATAACCAGCAACCCATCCTCCTGTTTAGATAGTACCTATTGTGACAGTCGTCAACAGTCAGAAGTAGTACTTTCTTAGCTATTATCCTAACGTAAATATTACCAGGCCTAGTATAGCACACATATGTACTGTGTTAGGCCTCAGATATCGTGTTTTAGGCCTAAGGAGGTTTGTTCACCAACGTTCTTTTCTCTGTAACAATGTTTTGTCCACCCCAATGATAATGTTCTTCATTGTTCTCAAAAAAAGTATCATGTGGGTTTCTAGTGTTGAAATTTTAGGTAATATTTATAGATCAAAATGTTCATCACCGTTCTACCTCTATAACATGGTGGTTCTACCCCTATAACATGGGGGTTCCACCTCTATAACATGGTGGTTCTACCCCTATAACATGGGGGTTCCACCTCTATAACATGGTGGTTCTACCCCTATAACATGGGGGTTCCACCTCTATAACATGGTGGTTCTACCCCTATAACATGGTGGTTCTACTGTTCTATGTAGAGAAGAACACTCATTTGGTTTTTCATTTACCAGAACAAAACTTCTTGTGTTCTTCGATAACAATAACTTTCACTCTAAGTAAGCCTCTGATTTTCTAGAGTCCTTTATAACTCTGTTCATTTGGTGTTCTTCAACTGATATAACAAACTGTTCTCTAAACGATCGCTTCATCGTTTTCTCTCGTTTAACCCTCGTTCAACGCTCACTGTGTTATGCTGTTTTATTTATTTATTTATTTATATACAAGAAGGTACATTGGGTTAGAGAGAATACACAGCATAGTATTTACAATCTTGTAAAGCCACTAGTACGCGCAGCGTTTCGGGTATGCTGATTTAAGGCGTGTTTCTCTTGTTTTAAACTGTTGTTATGAGTATTTTATCGCGTGTTTTGGTTGTGTTATATGTCTGAGATAATTACTGTTTTACGTCTTAGTCTCATCTGTCTTTTGGGCGTTTTTTGGCGTTTTTTGTTGGGGTTTAAGAACGTTTTAAGTGAAACAAGAGAGAGAGAACGATGGGCAGACTGCATTTTTTCCTAGACTGTCTGTAAGTATTGGATTAAGTCCCCACACACGAGAACACTTTCCAAGCTAGAGAAGCAAGCTGATGCTTCTGATGCTTGGTAGGAGTCCCAAGGTGAGAGAGAGAGTACCTGTCAGGAGGGAAGCAAAGGGTTACAGTGAGAGTGGAGACATTAGAGTGCAGAGAGGGTTACGAGTGGAGTACCACAAGGGTCGTTGCTGCGACCCGTCCTGTTTCTAGCATGCTTCTGATTGAATAACGGGAACTAGCTTCTTCTGATGAGTGTTTGTGTTGTAAATCTAATGAGAAGAATCAGTAAAGATGATCGAAGCCATCTACTAAGGGATCCTGACACTCTAGAGGTGGTCTGAAGAATGGCTTCTAGACTTTAACCAGCCAAATGTAATGAAAGGAGTGAAATTGGAGGTCATGCATCTGTATTTAGTGGAGACAGATGCCTGCATGATTAAAGTAGGAATAACGCAATTCCTGGTAGATAAAGGAATCTCCCAGGTCCTATACACAACCTCCATGTGAGACTCACTCCTCAGTGGACTAGTCCCCACTAGACTAGTCCCAGAACTAAGAGGCATGAGTTACGAGGAAAGGCTGCGGGAAATGCACCTAACGACACTGGAAGACAAAAGACTAAGGGGAGACATGATCACTACCTATAAAATCCTCAGGGGGAATTGACAGGGTAGACAAGGATAAATTATTCAACACTGGAGGGACGCGAACATGGGGACACAGGTGGAAACTGAGTACCCACATGAGCCACAGAGACGTTAGAAGGAACTTTTTCAGTGTCAGAGTAGTTAAAGGATGGAATGCATTAGGCAGTGATGTGGTGGAGGCTGACTCCATACACAGTTTCAAATGTAGATATGATAGAGCCCAGTAGGCTCAGGAACCTGTACACCTGTTGATTGACAGTTGAGAGGCGGGACCAAAGAGCCAAAGCTCAACCCCCGCAAGCACAAATAGGTGAGTACAAATAAGTGAGTACACACACACACAAGGCGCCAAGAAAGAGAAGAGAGAGGGAGAGAAGACATGATAGACATAAAATACGCCGCGAAATGTTTATGGTGGAAGAGGAATATATTTTACAATTAAAACCAATACAAAAAGAGGTCGTTAGAGAAAGACACAGCGTGACACATTTCTCACGGATACATCGTGAGAAAATATATATTTAACAAAAGAGAATCAGAAAAAAACAGAATCAAGAACACAAGGAGATAAATAACCAACTAACTCCTCACTTTTAAGTTTAAATATGATCAAAACCATGCTGTAAAAGGCGGGGTCCAAGAGCTGAAGCTCTATTCTTCAGACACATCCAGAACTCCCTTGACCCAGCGAGTATATCAAGATGAAAAAGACACCTGCGCGCGCATTCTCCCGCCTCGAGCACAGACTAACGTAAATAGATTCTGAAGTGAGTCTTACTCTTAAACCGTAAACAAACAATCAAAAGCCCATGATCATTTTACAGCACAAGGTGAGGGATGGACAGCATAGATATGCGAGGCTGGATGGTCTGTGGCTCACGTCTTTGTCCTGTGTTAAGTCATTCCATGTCTTCCTCTCACAACATGAAAGGCCCGAGACTGTTCAACACGCTTCCACTACACATAAGGGACATAACTGGCCGACCCCTCACAGTGTTCAAGAGAGAACTATCAACATCAGAGGCCCGAGACTGTTCAACACGCTTCCACTACACATAAGGGACATAACTGGCCGACCCCTCACAGTGTTCAAGAGAGAACTGGATAAACGCCTCCAAAGGATACCTGATCAACCAGGCTGTGACTCATACGTCAGGCTGCGAGCAGCCGCGTCCAACAGCCTGGTTGATCAGTCCAGCAACGAGGAGGCTTGGTCGACGATCGGGCCGCGTGGACGCTAAGCCCCGAAAACACCTCAAGGTCAAGGTAACCTGTGTAAAGTCATTCTTGACTGTCTCCATTTTGTAAAGTCATTCATATCTTTGTCTCAACTTTGTAAAGTCATTCTTGACTTGTAAAACATACTTATCCCAGAAAGAACAGGGAAAGAAACGATTAGTGAGTTGTTTCAAGCGTAGGATAGACACAAATCTGACCGACACACACAGAACTTTACATCTTAGACTGTGAAAACAGTAAGCCAATTAGAGGTAAACCTAAACTCACGCTGCATGAAATAGCAAACATCTTATCAACAAAAGATAAAATACCTGAAATCCTTGTACTGTATCGTGTCTAATAGATAACTGACATATATGAAGGTAATGAATTAAGGTGTATAATGTGAAAATTAAAATTAATAAACATTAACCCTAATACGATGCTAAAATTGTCCCCCATATTTAAATATTTTATGAATTAGCAAATAAAAAAATTACCATCAATGTATATTAGATTATGTAAATACTTAGTGTAATGATTGTTTTCTTTAATCAGGTGACATTATAATTATAAAGTGTGTAGGTTAGATGTAACTATTAATGCAAATATTTTCGAAGAGGTCTGATAAATGCCTTTTGTACTCCTTTTTGCACTAACCTTCACAGGTTAAAAAAGTTAGCTAACGGTAACTCTTATAATCCTTTTTGCGCTAATGCAATAGCCAGCTCCGGCGGCAAAAATCACACCTAAGTGCATATATACACCAATAAGCTGGGTACACCTCTGTGTGTATACACACCTGGCTCTGTTGCCAGTAATTGTGCCACAGACAGTGTCAGATATATAGTTCCACTGCTCAGATAACCAAGTCTCCCATGAACAGGTTCCACTCCCAGATTAAGCAGTTTCAAATGAATTCTAAAAAGGCTTTACTATCAAAATAAAGCTGTCCCAAGGCTTTATAAGAGGATTCCAGTATTAGGAGAAGAAGATCAAATAGCTTGACGGCGGATATGCTCTTAGAAATATGGTATTTTAGTAGTTTAAGATGTTTATTTGCATAAGTTTGTGTTCCATTCGATAGTTTTAGCAGAATTATAGCCGTCAATGGTAGGATATTCCGGTTCACCACAGAACCAAAGGTTCTATTAACCACAAGGCGTGGTTCTAACAAAACAGTTTGCGGTTCCCTATACGAACCACCGAAGCACAAATCACAAGCTCCTGAACGTAAGATATACAATTTCGTATTTTCCACTCAGCAGAACCGCGGTTCCATAGGGCAGTTCAGTGTGATTTCACCGGTTAATCAAACACTCGTTTCCAACTCTTCATTTCGTGGTTCACTGGTGAGGCGATGCGATTAGCCGCCGCGATCAGTGGTTCACCGCCAAGACTGTCAACGGTTGTCAACTCTCAGTCAATTATTGCGGTTCACTATAGCGGTTATCACCCACTATTACCCGCGGTTCAACGGACAATTGTCGCGGTTACGCACCAATCGCGGTCCGCCTGTCACGTAACGCCAATGTAACATTGTCACTCACTATTCCTACATCAGCTCGGGGTCTGAGATTCACCAGTTAAAGAGAGCGAGCAGAGGGGACGTGCGTAGCCTCCCCTCGCTAGCTGAAGACTGAGGGGAAACTGTGAGAATGAGACTCAGAGAGTGAGGGAGAGAGAGAGGGGAGGAGCCAGGCAGGAGGGGATGGGTGTTGATGGAGGGAGGGAGAGAGGGAGAGGGGAGAGAGGGAGGAAGGGAGAGAGGGGAGAGTGAGGTGGAAGGAAGGAACCATTTGAATGAGGGGAACGGGAGGAGAGAGCTTTGCGGTCATTGTTTCTATGTGTGTTTGTGAGGGGAGAGAGAGAGGAGGTAATTCTGTTTTTATGAAAACCAGACACACACATGCACTCACTCACTCACTCGCACAACACTGCCAGTGAGAGGGACTTGACGGCAGAGTGGACAGCGTTCGGGATTCGTAATCCCGAAGATTTTCTTTCACTCTAATGAACTTGTTCACCTAGCAGTGTATAGGTATCTGGGAGTTAGACAGCTGCTACGGGCTGATTCCTGGGTGTGCGTGTGTGTGTGTGTGGAAAAATAGCTGATTGATTGACAGTTGAGATGCGGGGCCCCAAGAGCCAGAGCTCAACCCCCCCCCCACAAGCACAACTATGTGAGTACACAGGTGGCATTGAACTACAGGCCAGTGTCTTTAACGTGTATACCATGCAAGGTGATGGAGAAGAAAGTTGAGAAAGAACCTAGTAACACATCTGGAGAGAAAAGACGCTACAACGCATCCTCCTAATTGACAGTCGTACGGTGTAGTAATAAGTACAGTTACTGACTGCTAAGAATAGTATATAATTACAATTGTGCATTTTACATTTACCTAACCATATAGTCTCCTCGTTTTCTGTTAAAACACTAAAAATTTTAAGATGAAATCTATATGTTTATTATTATATACTTAAGTTTTAAATATAAAGAATTTCTTTTTCAGTTCTACTAAACAATAGAGATTTTATACAAAATTTGAAAATATCCTGAGTTACTTTATAATTTATTGAAAGATTTTAGTTTTGTTTTATTAGTCTTATAAAACTGTAATATCAATATAGCTATAGGTTAAGTATTAATTGTAATTAAGAAGCAATAAAATGTTTGTCTTCATACACTAAGAAGGTTATGTTAGGTAGTGGTTCAGCTTTACAGGTAAACTCAAGTATTCACAATATTTGGGTGCGATTCTGGCGATTATTTGACAATACTGTTTAATACTAAGTTTAATAGGTACAATTCCTGACTGCTAAAAATAGTACATTATTACACTTACTTGAGCCGTTACATTTACCTCCCCATATTCGGAGAATGGGCTGGGCAACTCATCAACATTGGTTCAGGAAGGGTAAATCTTGCCTCACAGGTTTAATAGAATTCTACGACCAGGTGACAAAGATTAAGCAAGAGAGGGCTGGGCGGACTGCATCTTCTTGGATTGTCGGAAAGCCTTTGACACAGTACCGCATAAGAGGCTGGTACATAAGCTGGAGAGACAGGCAGGTGTAGCTGGTAAGGTGCTCCAGTGGATAAGGGAGTACCTAAGCAATAGGAAGCAGAGAGTTACGGCGAGAGGTGAGACCTCAGATTGGCGAGAAGTCACCAGTGGAGTCCCACAGGGCTCTGTACTCGGTCCTATCTTGTTTCTGATATATGTAAATGATCTCCCGGAGGGTAAAGATTCATTTCTCTCAATGTTTGCTGACAACGCCGAAATTATGAGAAGGATTAAGATAGAGGAGGACTGCTTAAGGCTTCAAGAAGACCTGGACAAGCTGAAGGAATGGCCGAACAAATGGTTGTTAGAGTTTAACCCAAGCAAATATAATGTAATGAAGATAGGCGTAGTGAGCAGGAGGCCAGATACTAGGTATCATCTGGGAGATGAAATTCTTCATGAGTCAGAGAGAGAAAAAACTTGGGGGTTGACATCACGCCAGACCTGTCTCCTGCAGCCCATATCAAGAGGATAACATCAGCGGCATATGCCAGGCTGGCTAACATAAGAACGGCATTCAGAAACTTGTGTAAGGAATCATTCAGAACTTTGTATACCACATATGTCAGGCCAATCCTGGAGTATGCAGCCCCAGCATGGAATCCATATCTAGTTAAGGATAAGACTAAACTGGAAAAGGTTCAAAGGTTTGCCACCAGACTAGTACCCGAGCTGAGAGGTATGAGCTATGAGGAGAGACTACGGGAATTAAACCTCAATTCGCTGAAATATCTTCCAGCGAAGAGTTAAGGGGGACATGATAACCACCTACAAAATTCTCAGGGGAATTGACAGGGTGGACAAAGACAAACTCTTCAGCACGGGTGGGACACGAACAAGGGGACACAGGTGAAAACTTAGTACCCAGATGAGCCACAGAGACATTAGAAAGAATTTTTTCAGTGTCAGAGTAGTTAGTAAATGGAATGCACTAGGCAGTGATGTGGTGGAGGCTGACTCCATACACAGTTTCAAATGTAGATATGATAGAGCCCAGTAGGCTCAGGAATCTGTACACCAGTTGATTGACAGTTGAGAGGCGGGACCAAAGAGCCAGAGCTCAACTCCCGCAAGCACAATTAGGTGAGTACACACACATGACAGAGACACACACACATATGACAGATTCAGACACACACACACACACATGACAGAGACACACACACACACACACACACACACATGACAGACACACACACACACACACATGACAGAGACAGACACACACACACAACAGGTCAGGGGTATATATAGCACATACTATGCCCCACAACTGGCCAAGTGACTCAACACCCGGAGTGTTTACAAGTCCACAACCTTGCCAGTACGTGATGCACGTCATAGACCACGCCACGTGTCTACGTGCATCTCTCTATGTCTGCGTCCCCCCCCTAGTCTGTGCCAACAGGGTCGAGCTTTAGCTCCTAGCGCCCGCCTTTCCAGCTGACTGTTATCTCATGTGGCGACTCCTAACCGGGTTGTTTATCATTTCCACTTGTGAAATTATGGATGAATATTGCCTCTATAACCCGGCTTGCTGAGTCCCTCTATGGCTTGTTGAGGCCCTCTATGGCTTGTTGAGTCCCTCTATGGCTTGTTGAGGCCCTCTATGGCTTGTTGAGGCCCTCTATGGCTTGTTGAGGCCCTCTATGGCTTGTTGAGGCCCTCCAGGGCTTGTTGAGGCCCTCCATGGCTTGTTGAGGCCCTCCATGGCTTGTTGAGGCCCTCCATGGCTTGTTGAGGCCCTCCAGGGCTTAGTAAGGTCCTCCACGCCAAAGACCAGTACCGGCCATCAGTGTATGGCTCAGTCCTGTTGTTCTGTCATGCCGTAATACTCCATGGAGAACGGAAACACACTTAGGGTCGAAAATCTCATTCTCAAAGCAGCTATAATCCCCCGCATCGCTCATCAAAATTCAATCCTTTCTTAAGTGCCTCTTTCTCCTAAGAACCTCTCCCTTCTCCCCCCCCCCCCCCCATGTAGCTTCAATAGCAGAAGCAGGAAGGGGTGTGTATGACCGCTTGTCATACACCCCCATACTTTGACCGCTTGTCATACACCCCCATACTTTGACCGCTTGTCATACACCCCCATACTTTGACCGCTTGTCATACACCCCCATACTTTGACCGCTTGTCATACACCCCCATACTTTGACCGCTTGTCATACACCCCCATACTTTGACCGCTTGTCATACACCCCCATACTTTGACCGCTTGTCATACACCCCCATACTTTGACCGCACCTGTGATGAGGTCAAAAGGTGTCTGCTGGAGCTAGATGTGACAAAGGCTGTTGGGCCTGACAGAATCTCACCATGGATACTAAAGAAAGGTGCAGAAGCACTAAGCGTGCCACTCTCTATGGTGTATAACAGGTCACTGGAAACAGGAGATTTACCAGAAAGTTGGAAGACAGCTAACGTGGTCCCAATATACAAGATGGGTGACAGGCAAGAGGCACTGAACTACAGGCCAGTTTCCCTAACTTGTATACCATGCAAGGTGATGAAGATCGTGAGGAAAAGGCTCATAGAGCATCTGGAGGGAAATAACTTTGTAACGCGCCACCAACATGGGTTCAGAGATGGTAAATCGTGCCTCACAGGCCTAGTTGAGAGTTCTATGACCAAGCAATAAAAATTAGGCAAGAAAGAGAAGGGTGGGCAGACTGCATTTTCTTGGACTGTCAGAAAGCCTTTGACACAGTACCCCATAAAAGGCTGTTACAAAAGTTGGAGCAACAGGCAGGAGTAAAAGGGAAGGTGCTCCAGTGGATAAGGGAGTATCTAAGCAACAGGAAACAGCGAGTAACTGTGAGGAGAGACTCTGACACTGAAAAAAAAAATTCTAATCGCTCTGTGGCTCATTTGGGTACTCAGTTTCCACCTGTGTCCCCTTGTTCGTGTCCCACCCGTGCTGAAGAGTTTGTCTTTGTTCACCCTGTCAATTCCCCTGAGAATTTTGTAGGTGGTTATCATGTCTCCCCTTACTCTTCTGTCTTCCAGGGACGTGAGGTTCAGGGGACGTGACGTGTACTCACCTAGTTGTGTTTGCGGGGGGTGAGCTCTGGCTCTTTGGTCCCGCCTCTCAACCGTCAATCAACAGGATTGACGTGTGTGCGTGTGTGTGAGAGTGTGTGTGTACTCACGTAATTGTGCTTGCGGGGGTTGAGCTCTGGCTCTTTGGTGTGTGTGTGTGTGTACATATGCGAGGATGCACACGCGCGTGTGAATGGTGAAGACTCCCCCCCCCCCTTCCCCCTCAACTCGAGTCGAGGGTTAGAGAATACAAGAAGGCCCTTGAAGGTGGTCCTCCAGCCCTCGGTGTTAAGGACACAACACACTCACTATCTCATCCCCTCAGACCACCACAACAACGTAGTTCTCTCTCTCTCCACCTCACGCACCCTCTATGTCTCTCTCTCTCTCTCTCTCTCTCTCTCTCTCTCTCTCTCTCTCTCTCTCTCTCTCTATTTATATAAACTAAGTCAACGGTCCATTAGGACTGGTGGTGATGCGCAGGCTGCGAGCTACGAGATCTAAACCTACATTAACTCATCTGAATC